TAAATTCTACAAAATATCTCAAATATTATTTTATTAATCAACCTTATGAATGTCTTCTATGTTACACCATTTTGAAAGTCTGTTTCAGCTCTAGCTCTGATAATACTATGACGAATAGATATGATTGAGGGTCGGTGTGGGTGTGGGTATGAGAGAAAAATAACACCCACACCCTCAATAAATGTCACAGCAATACGGAAATGATATTTTGATAGTGAAGTAAAAAATCTCATAAATACAAATATATTGTATAAGGTACACGAAGTATTAAGAAAATTCATATAAGTATAACAATTCGAAAAACCATTTTTAATTCTTTCTTTGCACGTAATAATCTATTGACTAATGTAACATGTTTATTCATTTCTGTAACATATCGAATTCATTTCAAATGAATAAATAAATACAATACCGTTTATTGGTATTATATAAATACAAAATTAGATTATAAACTGCTAAGAAAGAAAGATTCAGTGGCATTTGAAATATTTGATCATCAAAAAAATATTTAATTGCATTAGTCGCTATATATGGACATGCAAATATAAAAGCAGCCAACCATGTTAAAATAATAAGAAAAAATTGAAATTTTGCGGATTGCCAAAATAGACGACTTGAATAAATAACTGTTATATAACTATGATTCGCTTGTAACAAATAAGAATAAATTAATATAAAACAAATAACATAACACATATAACCTCGAAAATTACAAAATAAATCTTGATAATAAATTTGTTGAAGATCATTATAAAGTGTAAACATTATCATCCAAAATAAAATAAATGTAAATGAAAAACCAACAAAACATGAATTAGTAACAAGTATCATAGGAACAGTATGACATGTTTTATCGGTCAAAACAATAAATAAAAATACAAATGACATTAAAATGGCTAGAATAATACATATAAGTGCTAGAATATCGAGAAGAATAAACCATAATTGGTTAATTGTGATTGAAGTATTAGAATCTTTCAATAGAGAAGCAGAGAGAAAGTTGTTGTGTTCATCTATGAAATGATGAAAAAGAAGGGAAGAAAAGTGTATATATATATTATGAGGAATTATCGATGCGAAAGATTATTTCTTTTTGTAAAATTAACAACTATTTTAGTTTAAGTATTACGAATAATGAACAACAGACTTTTTTGCTACTGAATAGTACAAATCTAATATTATCTTCAAATGGAAAATTCTGTTTTATATATTTGTAGAACATTGCTTTTTATTAAATAAAGAATAGCAATTATTTTTTGAAATGATAGTGGGGTACTCAAATTTTGTCAATGAAAAATTCAAGTTTACATAGACGTATATCATTTTAAATAAGAAGCAAGATAATGTATCATGAAAAATTCGTTGTTGACTGTCCAGTCATTGGTATTTACTAATTTGTAACATTTCAATCGACTAGAATTAAATAATTAAAGACGCATCAACTTCTCACATGTTTTCCTTCTATATATATATATATATCTATAAGATCAAAGTTCAGCGTAGTATAATAGAAATCCATAAGTAAAATATATTTTGATTGGTCTTTATTACATTTTTTATCAAATATACATATATTTTAAATAAAAGATTTTAGTTAAAAATCAATGAAAACAATGTACTTGGTAATATGCATGTGGATATAGTTCTTTTACTAAAACATTTCTTTCATACCTAGTAAGTTTCTAACAATTTCTGGAAATAATTCGAAATATTCTAATACTCACGAGGGAACCACCCGAGGTGGTACACCCAGTTTTCATTCGTTCATATCTCATTTAGTTAAGTATAGTGAGATAGTAAAAACCCTAAAGGGGATTTTCCCCAATCGCATTCCTTCAGTAGTTTTTCTCATTTTGCTGGATTTTTGACCCATTATTAGGTATATACCTCAAAAAATAAACTTTGGAGTTTTGAGCTGAAATTTTGCCTATATATAGGTCCAATAGTTATTAGAACATCCTGAAAGTTTCAGCCAAAAAGAATGTTCCTTTCTTGAGATATTCAATTTTCAAAAAATAGTCGCTTGCTATATATAGGTCATGAACATGGAGTTGACTTGAAAATTGAATATCTCAAGAAAGGAACATTCTTTTTGGCTGAAACTTTCAGGATGTTCTAATAACTATTGGACCTATATATAGGCAAAATTTCAGCTCAAAACTCCAAAGTTTATTTTTTGAGGTATATACCTAATAATGGGTCAAAAATCCAGCAAAATGAGAAAAACTACTGAAGGAATGCGATTGGGGAAAATCCCCTTTAGGGTTTTTACTATCTCACTATACTTAACTAAATGAGATATTAACGAATGAAAACTGGGTGTACCACCTCGGGTGGTTCCCTCGTCAGTTAGACACAGAAAGCATATAGTTTATTAAGAAAATCACTTTTGAGATGTACAACATCAAATATTTAATATCAAAAAAAAAACTTCAGTGAATTCAATCATATGAGAATAAAATGATTTTTCATAAAATTCAAAATATATCATGAACCTTAGAAGAAGAAAAAAACGATTTGTCTGTTAAATTGTTACAAATTAGCCGATTGTTTTGCTCGTTGCCCAAATAAAATAAAATAAGTAATGCAGACTTAGTGTTGTCAGTTGAATAAATAAAATGATTATAGACTTTGTAGTAGGTTTAGTTCATTGACTAGACAAAAAGCAAATGAATTATAAGTACATTGAAAGCATGAGAAAGAGATTAATGAATGAATGAATAAAATGAAAAATTAATCGTTTATAAAAATCATAATGAAACAAAATAATAGTATTGTAACTGAATTTGCGATTGATGTTGAGGGCGATAGTATAGATGCTGAGTTATCTAATAGTGAGAAAAGATAGAATACAATATTTATTTTAAAAAATAGTTGATACGATAGAGAGAGAACAAATAACAATATATTGTGTTTCATAGATATTTCATAAATGATATTTTTAAAAAAAAGTGTTCTTAATAGTTTTTATTTAAATATGATAAATGTCTTCAATTATTGATCTCGTGTAACATAGTATTCTAAGATTTCTAATTAACTGTTAAATTATGATTTATTTATCTATATGAATACTTTAAATTTTTCAATATCATAGCAAATATACGAAATATTGTTGGAAAAGAGAAAATGGATAATTTCGTTTGTGTTTCACGTCGATTACAATTTTACTTCTCTTTACTCTTTAGTACTAATAAATTCGAATTTTCTTTTTATTCGAGTTATCAATAAAATCTCATATTAGAATGGAGAATAAAATTTCTGTAATAAAGATTTTTCATAGAATTCTATCTTATCTAAAAGATCCTAAATCGAATTTTTATTTGAGCTGATAATCTAATTCTTATGTTTTCTTGTACTGACTGATATTGCATTGTCGAGTATAATAATATTAAATAGAATAGAAGAAAGTAAAAACTTCTTATAGAAATACATTTTTTTTATTATAAAAATATTCAAGAGAATTTTTCAACATAGAAAGAAAAGAATATTTAATTAAATATTAGGAGTGCCTTATTACCATTACTTTATTACTTTTTCTATTTTCGCTTCAGTGTGGATCATAAGACATACAAGTCACTAAGGATGTATAATAGTTATCAATAGTGATTAGTATATCTTGAGATTCACAATAAAGTGAAGAAAAATGTAATAAAGCATCTCTCAAGAATATCTACAAAACAAAGTTTCCGAATTCCATCTGTTCAGTCAATTAGAAGAAATACAGAGACATCGATTTACTAAAAATGAATGTATTTTGTCAACAGGATGAAAAATAACTAATAAATAAATTCGAATATATTGTGATATTATCCTCTTAAACAGTTTTCTTCAAAAGATAACACTTACGTCAATCTTGTTTACCTCATATACAATTCAATTTTAATATTTCATTATACCCGAAATATCCTACAAGCATATTTATCTTTATAGTTTCTATATATTTTACAGATATCAATACTATATCCATCATTCTATCTAATAGATTATCTTTATATCATATAAATAGGAGTATTTAATTTTTAAGTGACATGCAATATTAGTTAATCTTAATTAGATGTTTTAAATTATAAACAAAATATCAACTAAATATTATATACTGGAATTATTTTTATAACCTCTCAAATGAATATACATTATGAAGAATATGCATTACTTCAATTATATTATTTTCTATAAATTTGATATTGTCAAAGTGTGTTTCTATAAACGCTTAGCTGCACCCTATTACTATAATTTTATGCAATACTTTTACATATTAAAACAACATTGTTTTTCTAGACTATTTGACAATTAATCTTTAATTAGAAAATAAATATTACACGATCAATTCTTGGATATGTCCTAGTATAATAAATAAATTTAAGTCATGTTTAAAACCTATATTCTATATGCGACAAAAGTTAACATATCCGATGCTTGCATTTTTTATTTTTCAAATCATTTTCTACTCACTTGCTGATGTTGTAAGACTATTGGTAGTAAGTGAAATAGCCATTGTTGTATCTAGAACAAAAACACATGATCATATAATTTAGATATCTTTGTTTTTGATTCAATATATCCCATCTTACTTTGTAATATAGCAGTAGTTGATGTTGTTGATAATGACGTCATATTTGGCGCTAGCAGTCATGAAATAAAAAAATATGAATAAGCGAAATACATTGTGAATGAAAATATTCTTTTCTTTATCAAACATTTAAAATTGAAATACAAAAATTTTAAATTTTTCTTTATTTTAATTAAAATCTCAAGTACTTACAAAGAATTTCTTTCTAATTTTGACTTGTTTTCCAACTAAATTATTTGATAACAATATTTCGAGACAAAAACAAAACATATTCGTTATACAAATATTAATTATTTTTGTTTAGATTATTTCGCAATGAGTAAATAAATACAGAAAGAACAATTTTTTTTGTAAATCTTAAAGTATTGCTCATACATTAAGTATTTAAAAATCTTTTGTTAAATAATCGATTACTTCACATTTATTTTTATAGTGAGAAAAGTACTCACTAGGGAATATTGCAACTGTTCAATCGCTTTATCAATAAAAGCTATTGGGTTAACGATTATTCATTATGGTCATTTCGACGTAGGACATGAAAAATCTCCATAGACTTTTATAGGATGATTTTAATAATAATAAAATTTTAACTAAATATTGTTTTTTGTCTGTTCAGATTATGCAACATATCAAATTGTCTTCAATAGGACAGTTTTCCCTGTTTTTAGTATTAAGTTATTCTAGTGTGCATCTGTTATATGGATTTACTTGACTGTATTTTCTCAAGGATTAAATTTAAAATAGAAACAGTTGTTCTATAGACAATTCAATACACTCCATAATACGAACAGATAAAAATAATAGTTAATCAGAATTTTGTTATTTTTGAAAAAGATTTTCTAGAAAACTATCCCACGAAGGTCTAAGCGGTTTTTGTATACTCATATTCGAGATCTACATAATGAATAATCTCTAATTCAATAGTTTATATTTAAAAATTAGATTGGGCACTTGGCAACGATCTCTCATCAGATGTATCTATATACTTCAAATATATTTTATATAAAGAAATTAAACTGAATATTTATCTATTAAACTTACAGCAAATAATAGGAAATCTTTGAATCCGACTGTTACCGTAATCATTAACAATAAGTGCTCCAGTTGAATCAAGTGCGAGGTAGTAAGGCTGATTTAGTTGAGATGGTAATACTCCACCAACGCCTGTACCAGCAATGACTCTGCCCGATGTAGCTCCTAATAACCATAAAACGATTCGATTATTTCCATCGTCCACAATGAACATAGATCCATTCGTGTCCACAATCAAATCAAATGGAGTATAAAGTTGATTAAATGCACTACCAGACACACCTGATTGTCCGGCAACCGTTGTTCCACTACTTGCTCCATAAAGCCATTTTTGGATTCTATGATTATATGTGTCTGCTATATAAAGTGTATTCGAATCAGATGTGTCAAGGAATAATCCTTGTGGTCTATTTAATTCATTCGCTTGTAAACCATAAGTATTCTTTCCTGCAACAAGTATCGCAGTCGATGTATTTACCCACTTGACAACTCGACAATTGTAATAATCAGCTATCCAAATATAGGATGTATTTGGCTCAACGAAAAAGTCCCAAGGGAGATATAGTTGATTGAGAGAAAAGCCATGTCCGTTACCACCGGCTACAAGTATACCCGTTGATGCTCCTGGGATCCATTTTGTAACACGACTGTTAATACGGTCAAGTATATAGATATTACCACTCACATCTATGTTAATAGCGGTGACTAAATTAAAGAAAACATCGGTTATATATCAATTATCTTAGATTATTTACCGTAAAAGAACTCATCGAGATCTGGGCCAATGCTGGCATTAATGATTGTTATTCCTGATTGACTACCTGGATAAAAAAGTTGTAGACGAGAGGAGGAATCAGTAGAATCCATGACATAAATCGAATCATTTTCACCAACCGCGATGCCCATTGGAGTATTTAACAATGCAGAATTGAAATCTGCAATACCATCAGGTGAACCTGCAATTGTTGTTGCATCTGATGCCCAAACAGTCGTTGAACAATTATGAGAGAGAGCCGACACTTTATCAAGTAAAAATCTAACAAAAACTATTCTTATTCTATAATCTAATAAAATAAATAGAATATTTCTTACGCAACAATAATAATGATAACTGATTTAATCGAAAGATATTTCAAATATCTATCAGCCATGATGATTAATATCTAAATAAAATGTTATATATATTATATTTTTGATCGACTAATTATTGGCAATAAGAATTTTTTATACATGATGAATAAATACAACAATTATGTACTTAAAAATAATTCAAAAAAAAACATTTTCTT